TCTACGCTACCTGAGCTACCGACATTTTCCTCTATAGAATATATATATATATATCATAGCGTCAGAAAGGCTGTTTTCTAACCTTCCAACCGACGTTTTCCACAAATGGATATTCATATCAAGTAAAGTTAGGGTCAATACCTTCTTCTCAAGTAAGCTAGAGCCCCATTTAAATCGGCTGAAAAACATCTGAACTAACCAAGAAGTCATGTTTTTGGAAATGCCTGGAAGGCAATCTGTTGGAATTAATCAATGTTGGATAATGCTTCGTTTTTGACACACTTTCTTAGGGTGAATGGGGAAACAAACAGCGTAGTCTCACTTACTACCATGCAAAATCAATTTCAGGTCTCGGCAGATAAACTTTAACACCAGATGAGAACGCTGGCGCAAAACCAATGAAGACTATCTGAATAAAGCCTCCTAAAGGGAGGAAGAAAGAAATGGGACGTAGGGGAACTGGGGTCAGCCTAGGACAAACGTCCAATATGCATACACCCCAGGCATTCAGTCAGGCAATCCGGATAGAAACTGAGAGTACAAACACCACTGACGCCAAGTAGCCGCCATATCATCCATTGTTTCCCGTCAAGCACATGAAGAGTCAGGAAGACAAACAACACCAACAGTACCCAAAATTTCGTAACGTTGGCGTAAAAATGTCGCCCATCTTGGTAGGCGTTGACTCGGTGTGCATAGCGCATGATCAGGCCATTTTAGCTTGCTGCAGTGTTTGAGGAAAGTGCTGTCTACTACTTCAAAAACCCACCTCCTGAACACCTCATTCCGAAATGATTTAGTTTCAGTCAGGCTACCCAGGCTTCGGTGGTCAAAGGCAGATTCTCTGCCACAAGCGTACACCAAAACATTCCACACCGTAGTCTTGTAAACGCATCCTTTTTGGCCTAGTGAAATGCTCTATTGGCGCCACAAGTGGCACAAATTGACAAATGCAATTCAGCCTTCGATATTTGCTTGTAGCACCTCGTCAGGGCAGCTACTACCGACGAGGTACATATAGATTCCTGCAAATTCCATGGTCAAAGTCTAATTTCTGCAGCATGATGTTTTCACTCTGTAGACGCGAAACACATGCTAAATTACCTTCGGCGGCTTTTCAAGTAATGTTGGCCATTCCAGCTCAACCGCGAAAATGATGACAATGTCCTCTGCTTAGGGTAGGGGTTTTGTTCTGAGAGATCTGAACTTCTGGTGTTCACCTCATTATGTCATAAAAAACGGGAGTAAACAAGATTGGAGGGAGACCTCAAACTTGTCGGATGTTATTGCTTGTAAGAAAACTTCTGAAGAGCCTCCGAAGACACGCTCACAAACATGTTGGTACAAAGAGTGCATGATATTTACGAATTTTAGCGACATGCTCTGCAATGCAAGCTTGACGAAAAGTACTAACCGTTGGGTAGAATTGAGGCCACTCTTTAACTTAAGGAACACCAATATTGTAGGGTCCTGTTTGCAAGCCGTTGTAATGACATTTGACAGAGTGCGAAGATATGGTCCATACAATCCCTTCTGGAAAGAATCCTTCTTGTTGTTCTCTGGTCATTTTCAACACCGATGCTTGGCGGCCGCACAATTATGGCTTGTTTGAAAGACTTATTGCAAAGAACTTGATAAAAGTGGACGGGGAAGGGAGCTGATGCTAGGCTACCACAATTATTCCGAGGTGCCTGTAACCCCAGATAATCATCCAGGCGGAAAGTGAACAGGAACACTATTGACATCAACTGGTAGCACTATATTGGAGCAGAGATCCACCGGCAGCACTCAGATTTCATAATATCATCGGCTGTAAGCCTACCTAACTGTAGATTTTGACTGCAACGTCAAGGGCTATTGGAGGAATCCAACGACGCATCCACGGCAAAAATTATTGGGACATATGGAATTATTTAATCAGTTTCTTGAATTACACGTTATTATTTCAGAGGTACCACAGCAAGAATTCTTTCAAACGAACAAAACCTATTCTAAACGCAACATATCTGGAGGGCATAAAAACATGTTCTACATATGGTAGGCAGTGATATACAACCGTGGATAAGGTGGCAGATGCACTTTTAGAAAAATTTCAGATTCACGCTTAACTCGGTCCGTGATAAACAACCTCATATTTTTATGGCTGCGATTGCTATTAAGACTGTCTTCAAACCAGTGCTTAGGATTTCCGTCACAGCACTGGATAAAGAGAAAATGTCACAACCCTCGTGGATTTTCATGATGCTGCTAGACTACGCTCTAGAAACGAGCCTAGAAAGCTGCTCTTACTGGCCAAAGTATTTATTCCTTTGCTGTTAACTCGCCTCACTTCTCACGTGCGTAACGTTCTTGAGGGAGCTCAGAGTTCCCTACCAAGAATTTCTAAGCACCCGTTTCCTCAACAGGTTCAGTCTCAGTTGAATATTGTACTAGTTTACTGCCTCAGCCTGAACCCTATGAAAGCTGTGTTTCTAGCAAGCTTTTCTGTAAAGAACAGATGTGTTCGCAAAATTCCCATGAAAACGCAGCGCTTTCCTTGAATGTGTCGGCCGTTTCCCATTACAGACTTCACATTTGCAATGACTACACCGGGACCCCTAAGGTAACTGAAATGTATTCAATATTAGAGTGGATTGCATACATGTCTACATTAAGTTTAGAGGTGCTAAATTAGTTTAAACCTGAAAAATATGTAAATGGAAGAGTGATGGCCGTCGTTTAAAGACGAAGAATCTGAGAATGCGACTAAACTTGTAAAAATACTCAAAGAACGGTAGAATGTTATTCAGAAAACTCAGCCTTTCAAGATATATATTAACAAGTAAAACGAATTGCGCATTTCACATCTTTTATCTTAAGGAGACCGTCGATGTGACTCGCTCCCCCATCACACAAAATGTTACAGTCTTTCCTTGGGTGCAACATCAGGACTCCAGTCGAATTTCACGATAGCCTTCCACTTCAGCTTGGGAAGCGCGACCTGCAAAGCCTTCCATTTAGACACATCGCAACCAGGCTGCGACAGGCTATCCTACTTTTCAAATGGCCATGAATGCCTGAACGCCTGTGTGCGATCCACCCCCACGGAAAAACATTTACAAAGTAAGTGATATTCTTGCCCCAGAATTGCGGTTTATCGCGTATATATTAACCAAAATCTGTATACTTTTTTATAAATTACATACCTGCAGAGATAGGCTCTACTACTGTACTGCCGCTCCATTATTGGTGAACTGTGGAAAGACTTGTCTCAGAACCATCCGACAGAATGTACTCCACTCTGGTTTCAAACCATATTTCTACAAACTAAGACGAGCGTGACATTTGACAACAGCACTGGTGAGACCGTACCTCCTTGATTGCTATGACCATTCAACTAACACTGCGCGGTAGCCTGGAGTGAGGGAAGTTTCCCCAAATGGCATGCGCCCTGAGGGAACAGGTCGCGCCCAGAATCAGCTTGCTGAAAGCCTAACAGTTCAACCAGAGTACTTCATATACGAATACACACACGCATATGGTGAGACTCCTTAGCTCTTACTGCCTGCCACCTGACCTGACAGCTAACGGCACCGTAAAACTGATCATGACACGGAAAGTGACCAATATTATCGTCGTACTTTAGCTGCACTAGAACTCTATAGAGGCCACGCAAGGTTGCTATAGCGTTGAGACTAAAACGTCATAACGAAGGTGCTATGTATTGACATACGAATCCTTCAGTGGGGTGCGTTCGATCGTTTACGAACCAGTGTTATGGGTGATGGTCACCCTTCTCACCAGAGAATATGACCAAACGTCAAAGTAGTTGAAGTAAGAAGACGATGGAAGCACTAAATACACCGTAGTCGATTTCCGGTTATTTGGTATTTTTATAACAGACCAAAAAATGTGATGCCATACTTCTTTGAGTGTCTCCGGTTCTCACGAGACAGAGTGAATTTGTCCGCAGGGAAAAAGAGGCTCTGCAGTCACTCATAGAATTCCTTCAAACGTCTAATCAGCTCATATCCTCGCTTTGCTGCTAATAAATGGATACTGACCTTTCTCAACTTTCTTAAGTTCCTATTTTTGTCGTATCATCTGCGTACATACGCACTAATTGTTTGAATTGTTCTACGAGTGCAGACGCACAAACTTCCGTCTAAAATTTGTAATTAAACTTTCTGTTGTTTCCGTTTAACTTTCATCCACGAATTCCAATAGCAGTTATTCTGTTTTTTATCGGCACATAATTAGGAGAGTAATAGGTAAAAGTTTCATCTTCACTGACCTTGTTCGGCAGTGACGGTGGCGAGTTTCGAACTCAGGGCTATATGATATGCTGGACGATCCTACTCAGCACTCCACCGGCCGATTTTACGCATTTCCGAATTCTCACATCCAAACAGGCCAAGTTGCAAATGCGTGCAACTGACTAGCATTCAAAAGAGCGGACCTCGATCAATCTCGCGTTTGCTTTGTTAAGGCTTAAGTGGGTAGCACTGCCGAGGGAAATCAAGAATGCTCAGGCGACAGAAATGTGAAAACATGTTGGCTAACAACGTGACGCTAAGCATTCTTCGGAGTGTTGAGTGCCTGCTCTCAAGAAAGTATAGTGCCACCTGTGCACTATATTGCTAATTGGAACACAAGGTTCTTTGCAGTTAATCTGGTTGAAGTATACCGTTTATAAGAGCTTCAACCGACTCCCTGATTATTGCCAAAATGATTTACGAAAGACTTCTCCGCCAGTCCACATCTTCTGTTTACCATGAGAACTCTCTACTCCGGCTACGTTTTTGAGGAAATTCATTCAGTGTAGAAAGTCGTGCGTCCGTTGATTTCTGAATATTTTCATCATTAGCGCCCTGACGAAATGGTACAACCGTATCTAGGTTCTAGAGGAAAGGTTAACCCCACCAAACTCTTTGCAGTGTGGGCAATTAAAATCTACTGTACTGGGTGTGTCCCGTGGTTACAACAATCCCTTATTAGTTCGGTGTCGTTTTATTGCCCATTAAACAAACGTAGATCGCTGTTTCGCTCGGAAGACTCATGCAACCTGGTCTTGTGAGTCCGAACACGAGAAGACGTTCCGCTGGTCCTACTTGTCCGAGTTGAATCAATGTGTACAATTCTCGCAGTGCATTCACAACTCTACACAGCCGGGGAACAACTTTGCATCGCGTTCTGTTTGTGAGGCAACTTGCATGGCCACAAGCCTCGAAGGTAACATAAATAGTTTTACGGTGATTTTGAACCCTAATCATCAACAAACTTTTTGGTGGGCTGCAAAAATACATAATTTGCTGATTTGTGCTTTGGTACAATTAGAATTCTGTGTAGTGGTTATATTTCTGGATTCCTACTGAGTACGGTAAAGTTATTGCATTCAAGCTTGAAACTAGCATTTTTTGGCAATTTGAAGATCCGACCTCTCGTTATTATTGCATGGTTTCATAAGAATTACAGGTGCACACTGAGAGTACCAAGTAATGCTTGAGAAAAACAAAAGAAATAGATCATCAGCGTTTTGATTTTATGCCTCACTCCGTAACTGAAGACTGATTCAGCTCATATCAACGCACCCCACCTGTGAAGTAATAACCAACGGTAAAGCACTGCCTTCATAGGACAACTATACAGAGTAGGAAGGCTTAGTTACTCGCAATTTGCACACTTCTGAAGAATGCCCCCCCCCCCTAAAAGACACGAAAGCAAGCGTGTCTCTAGATTCCTTGAGTTTTGGGAAGAATGAAGGTATTAGCCAGTGTGCTGGTCTGATGAGAGGTCAGCTAGGCCAACATAATTTTGTTGGTTTCCAGTTATACCTTGTGTTATACGATGCGATTCAACAAACTAATGTGGCTGGATGTTATGAAGAATACTCGATTTTCACCTCACTCCCTATTGTAGAGGTATGCCAATTGCCAAAGGAGCGTGGTCCGTGTCATGCTACTCAGACTCGCTACTACTACGACGTCAAATCTGCAAAATGTAGGATGTTTCTTTACGGTGGCTGTCTTGGAAATTCAAATCGCTTTCTTTCAAGGCAGGAATGTGAGTCTGCTTGTGGCAAGTTCGCATCCCACATGATCAGTCATAACGTGACAACATTATCCGACGTCAACCAAGCTACATCCGGAAGGCATACTGCCCCACCGGTCCCGGCAGAGGTCTTTGACAAGATGAGAAGAATCACGCGACGACATTTCGACAATTTCCGTACGTCCTTCTTCTATTCCCTGTTTTTCCACACTAGTAACACAATCATTTATGCTTTTTGTCACGTTATGGTCACTATTATACCGAAGTGTGCGGCCCACAGGACAAGTTTATCTTAACCCTATGTCTGATCTACTTTCAAGACATTATGGGAAAAGGCGAAAGCTAAACTGCTGACAATTCAGACATCGTGATTTCATTGCCAAAAAGCTTTGTCACTTCCTCACAGTATGCTGGTCGAAATCGGCCAGATCTTTGCACGTGAAAATTAGTTCCTCAATTGCAGTAAATAATCTTTTGAGGGTGACTCATTATTTATCGTGGTTTTACATATCTTCGACTCTCCTCCTTCATTCTTGATGATTAAACTAATTGGCAATGAAGTTTAAAAATTGTCGGTGAGATATTTGCCTATCTTAATCAAAACGGAAAAAGGGAGGAAGAAGGCGAGGGCAAAGAAAGGCACCTGAGCATCTACTCTAATCAGCCATGTATATAATAACCTAGTTTTAGACGTCTGTTAGCCACCAATATATGAAAATCTACAGTTGGAAACGACATTGAATTACGTTATCTGTGCTCTGGATCGATATTGTGACCACAGCAGCCCAAATGATCTGGATTGGGGCCACAGTTTCCGCCTCATGTTTTGTTCTTCTGGCTTTTCATTCTGACGCAAATGTGGTGCGCTAAAGACAAATAAAAATCAGCTGGTCGGAGTTGGTTTAGGTCCTGAGTAATGAGCTGAAACAGTTTAGAGTTTCTGTGAGAACTAAAGTTCAGCCTGATGCTCGCTTCGAATATCTGCCGAGGCTGCCCCTGTCCATCTCACCGTAGAAAACGCATATGTAAAACTCTCATGGAGTTTCCAATTATCTTCGCATAGTGTCTGTTAAGAAAGTAGTATTTAATTTGTTATTTCCGCTGGAAGTAGAGTAACCGATGCTACTTGGTAAAAGTAATGGTGTGTGTTCAAAACGCCAGACTTGTTTTTCTCTCAGTAGACTCTTTGTTCGAACTCTAGTAATGTGATATCTTCCTCTTGATGTTACTTGTGCCGGGTGCTAACGTGTACATCCAGCCTTTGTTGGTTTGCCATGCCACAAAAGTCTGATTTGGTAATGGTGGTATACATTCAGCAATCAAGTTGAAGGTGTATTACGGGCAGTGAGCATTCTGGTGCCAGCTCACTATAACAGTCGCTATTCTGTAGACGAAATACACTACTCATAAGTTCGGTTAAGAAGGCAATCAAGTTGTGGGTGCATTACGGGCAGTGAGCATTCTGGTGCCAACTCACTATAACAGTCGCTATTCTGTAGACTAAATACACTACTCATAAGTTCGGTTAAGAAGACCACAAAAGATCGATTCAGCAAGTAGCCCGTTAAAACCAAATTGGTTTGCAGATACGTATTTGGCTAATTGCCATTCTTTTTGAGAAAGTATTTTTGAAAAGCATGTTGCTGACACCTCAATCACATTTCGAATAAAGCAACAGGTCACTCAGAAAATCTATTGCCTCAGTTTGTCAAAATACAACCCGAAAACCTACTAGACTTTAACGTAGATTGATTAATCGGTCTTCGGCTCAATCGAAGTTGTATGTTGAAAAACGGATAACGAAACAAAAACTGGAGTCGAGGTATGCTGTTTTTACTAGTGAAGGTTACAGAATAGAACTGACATGCCGACTTGCTGCATAATAGTTTTATCAATTCATCATGCACATCACACTCATTCTGGCAGCAAAAACACGAAATAATTGTGACCGCAGTAAACCTCTTGTCTTTGATAATCATTGGTAATAGTCCTTATAAACTATTTTCCCTTACTAAAGCTTGGGACTTGTGTTTGGAAAGCCATTGGTATGGAACCTGTCCAACCTCGACAAGATACCATGCGATTTCCAGTGGATATCCATTCACCCAGCTCACTCGGTTCTTCTACGACCGACGACTTGGAAAATGCCAACCGTTCACCTACACCGGATGTGGAGCCAGGGGGAATCATTTCGACACAGCACAAGGATGCAAAGAAGTTTGCGAGGACCGCCTTCGTAATCCAAGTAAGTTTGAGAGATCTCCGGGCATCACTAAGTAAAAAGTGTTGCCTACGAAAATGTTTGCTTTTGTATAGCGTAGACTGCGAGTCCCGTATTCACAGTGGTAAACGGCATCTGTAGCTGAATTTATAAACAGGTTCAGCGACAAACAAACAACGTTTTCAAGCATTCTTATGTTGAGTAAAAAGAGCGACGACGCCAACATCTCATGGGAGTTTGAGCAGTGCACATTGAGTAACATCGCAGGATGGGGAGTAGCAAAAGCTTTTAAATGACATAAAATCAGGACAGGCACCGTAAAGTGGTTAGCTTCTTTTTTTACCTGTCTAACATTTCGTTTGCGGTTGACAGCTGATTACCATAAAACACCCAAACACTTTCTACCTGTCCCTCATTTTAAGTAGCTACCATCCTAGTGTTTCTAGTGAAAACTAATTGCCGTAATATCTGAGTAGTTTTTGGTAACGGTACGGGAACAAGACTCGCTGGAAACGGTCATCATTCAGAATTTAACGAGAATGGCTAACAGGTATGCGCGTATTTGTTCTACGGGTTCGTATACAATCTGATAGTATCCGATAAGCCATAAGATAATAAAATTGCCAGCTGCAAAAAAATTTATATGAATCTGAAAACTGATAACTCCTTGTTTTAGGAAAGTCCAAATACGGTGGATAGATATATTACTGAGCAACATTGTACCTCTGAAAAAACACGCAATATAAGTTAACGAGTTGATCGAATCGTAATGAAGATAGGTACCAGTCAGCCAGGTCGTTGAAGACCAACGCCGGCGAACTAAATTATTGCTGAATGTTACCTAATGATTCTCGTCCGATAGTAAGGTTGACAAAGAATTTGAATCGTTTTGCAACCTCGCTGTTCCAGTTGAGGTTACCACAGTTTTTGCGGGTTAGTTATTTCTACGACAGGTTGACATGTATTGAGTCGCGTATGGTCGACTAGAAATCCAAAGTCCATTTCATTATACGCCTACACTAATGGGCAAACCGCATCACCTGTCAAATCGGAAGACCTAAAACCACCATCCGAAAGTTCCATAGTTCTGCTGGAGATTTCCACCTCTTCGGTCAGTCTGCCATGAGGTTGGTGAATCTTTGACGAGCGCCCGAAGTTCACTGACGTTACTCGGTGGTGAAAGGAAGAAGGTCTTCGCTTCGGAAATGCCAACTGACCGGTTACAGACCATTGAACAGGGAAGCAAAACTATAATCTGCATCTTAGTTACAAAAACTGGACACCGATCTTCTCCCGAATGAGTCTTCTTGAACTTTCCTGAAGATTCACTGACTCCACTCATTCGTCGGTCAAATCCAAGCAAATGTTACAAAGTGGCTCCCCGAATTCCGCAACAGATCTCCCTTTTTCAATAGACGCAAAGCGACATTCTACGGACAACACATACTACTCGCGTGCCTTCCCATCAGTAGTATCACCGTTACAGTGGTAGTCAATCCCCTTTTGTGCTCAATGATTCCAACTGGGTGTCACGTAGATTATACTGCCCTCGTTGGGTTGCATTTTGTGTAAAGACGCTTTCTGGTTCAGTTTTTTAAATGTGCAACTGCGGTGAACAGAGGATCTGCACCTGCTGGGAAGTTCCCCTTATATTCATAGACTTTTGATGTTCTTGGTTCTTTCTTCCCATTCTCCATTGGGCCAGCCTGCGATCACAAATGCTCAAAATAGAAAGGTCTAAATAACTCAAAGGCATTTTATTGCTCCCGTTTGGACTGATGTTGAGTTAGCTTAATTTGTATATTAAATTCTTTGTTCGCGTAAATATCAACAAAGTGACAATATCGAATACCAGCCAACCCGAAGATGCTTGACTTGGTTAGGCCGCAAAATACTACTCGTGGGGCTACGTCGCTGTAAGAACACCGGTTGAAAATAACACAGCAAAAGGGTGGAATGCACAATAGCTTGTCTCCCAGAAAATCTTCAACAACTTGTCATCAATATGGCCTATTCTGGAACAGCTACGGAATAATGCCGCCATCTTTTTGGCTTACACGCCGTTGATGAATAGCAAACAGGTTCATGCTGTTGCGAGTCATGGATGCGCAAAAAAATCGTTCAAGATAAAATAAATAAAATATTGCCGCTGCCTCGCAAATGCTGTTCTCTGTAGAACAGAAGGTATACCATACGAATTCTATAAGTTTGTTTCCTATGAGAAGCTGCTCTCTTCGAAATTTTCTGAAGGCCTTTTTGAATTAACATGGAATATGGCTGCATAAATTGATAAACCACGATGCGGTTGACAGGATGACGCGAAGATTGACACCAAGCCGACGTGAAGACAACTCATTCAGACAGGACGAAAATGAGTTGTTAGAATTGTGAGTATTTGTGAGTTTAAAACAGAAAGAGTAACGGGCGTCGATATTAGTTTGAAAAATGTGTTTTGTATAACTCCTGACAATAATGATATTTTGTTCACGCAGTATGTCCTTGTAGTATGACCTGCGTCATTTTTACGTACAATCTCACTGTACGAAAAGGTCGTACCAAGCGGATCACAAAAAGACAGCTTCGACCTAGAGAAAATAGAAAATACATGTATGGGACAAAAGCTTTTAACATATATAGCAGTTCTTATAGATGACCGAAATATGTTCCATTTCCCACGTGCTTTAATGTCCGGGAGATTTTTGGCTCATTGTTTAAGCAACTGGAGTAAGAGGACACTCCGACTTGAAATATTTTCCTTACGCAAAACAAGCGCAATTTTTATCAAGTTCTTCTTTGAACCGTTGAAAATCTGGAAACAGTAGATGCAAAAATCAGGGGGTGTGTGTGTGGAAATCTTCCCGGATTCAGTATGCCTCACCCAAACCAGGACATGTAAATGTCGATCACACCTTTACCAGATTGCATTTTGTTCGTTTAGCAATGCAGTTGGAAGACGGGATCACAAAAATGTTACAAGGAACACGTGAAAAATTGCCACTGCTGCATGACATGATGTACGTCAAATATGCTGCAGTCACTGCAGTGCGCTTGAGGATAAAAATGATACCGTTATGCCAGGCAACGCTAGTAAGTGAAGAGTCATTGGCACTAGCTTTAGCATAGATATCTGTCTTATTTGACAAATGAGAACTGTTACAAGTGAAAATAAAGGCTACAGGATTTAGAGATATTCGTGTAAGTGTCAGCGGTCACAAATGTCGTTTGCTTTCGAAATCGTTCCTCCTCGTGCCTTCACAAAAATCAAATATCACGTCGGACGCCACAGTACAAAACTTTGAACTCCGCACTACGGTTACACGGCTAGATAAGTTGCGTGTGAAATGTCAGAAAATTAGTGGAACTGAACAATGTCAAGAAAATCTAAATTATTCTTAAAAGCGTCTGGTAAAGCTGGGATGGACTGAACACTAGCATGTTCTTCAGGTGCTGCCAAACACAAGAATGGAAACTGCCAGTCAAACCACTTATCCGCCAAGTTACATGTGAATACTGACTTTAACGTGACGACCTAAGTGAGGGAAGGTTGTCGTTTTTTTTCCTCACAGGCGGAGACTCTCGTCGTGCCGATTCCTACGTAACAGGTACTTTATCGCGCGTTCTGTTTGATAGAAATATTTTATAGCATCTTTTACAAGTTTTATCCGAACTATTACATAAAGTTTCGCTGTCTGTAGGAAACAACCAAACCCCAAAAGATAAAAGCCATTTTGGGCTGCTACCAAGTCTATGTGACAAAATTTCCATGAGCAAAAGATCAAACTAGATGAACGAAGGTCATACAAAATATGTGGTTGGTTAGGTGACACACAAGAAATAGCTACATTTGAGGGCATCAGAGGAAAGAATACTAGAACACAGATTGAATATTTGGCAAACTTTCATGAACCTTTCTACAGAGATCCTGTTTCAGCGCCACTTCCTGAATAGAATAAGTGTGCGAACGTTGCACGGCAGTGTCGTCCGGCATTTTAGACTTTAACAGGATAATTGTGTCGGCCACAGCCGAACTTATGTGGTTTGCTCTGTCGCATATCACGCGATTTTCTAGGACCACCCTGTTCCACTAAAATTTTGTAAGTAATCAAACGGCTTGTGTCATTTAAATCAGACGGGACCAAGTATCTCCGAGGCGACAAAATTACCCGAGCATAAAGGTAGTTGTGGCACTGAAAAAAAACGAAGTGGTAAAATCCTCTCAAAAATTACACACTTAGCTAGAGAACGAAGATGAACCAAATTAAGAACCATCCCCACTCCATGGGGCTTCGGAGATTTGTGCCGATACAACCAATATGAACTACCGAATTTGCCGTTAGGTTATAGGGTATGCAGTGTGCTGCCCAACATGGATGTCAGATTGAGTCGTTGAAAAACGGGTTGAATATAGAACGAACCACCAGCAGGCTTATCGAAACTAGTTGATCTACCAATCAAAACCAAGGACAAAATCTCGTAACACAGAGCCCAGTGCAACAAAAAACTAACCACATCACACATAAAGGTATCTAAAAGGTCACTCATTAAAAAATACTAGACGACGGTTGCTAGGCGGTGAAATTAAAGCTATGTGACAATGATGTGATGCCAAAGGATACCCATTTTTGGACAAGGAACAAGATGGCGTGCGACAAAATCTCAAGTACTACTTACTGTTGTTGTTGTGTGCTCTACTGCGCAGTTATACGGGCACACATCCAGCAACAACTTCCATTGCCACACCTCTTTTTCATGATCTTCACGTTTTCATACGACTGACATCAGCATTTGGGCGAACCAAACATCAAATCGAAATCAGCTTATTTGCACACAGTCAATAGGAACCTAATTTTTCTGCTAAGAAAAACGGATTCCAGATGTTAAGTCTTTCTTAAACCCAATTTAGTACTTTACCAAAGAAAACAGGCAAAAAGAGCAGAACCGATGTTCTACGTATAAACGGTTTTCTTCTTCAGTAAAGCGTGCAAGTAGGTGCAAACTTAAGGAGGATAAACGAACTCTTCCTGATGGAACACACTTCATATATCTTTGTTGAGAAACTATTGACGGCTCATCGGCAGTTCCGCCCTTCTTGAAGACCCTCAACAAGGAAGCGCCATCACCCCAACGTTCTACTTGAACACCGAAATTCACGCAGTTTACGAAAGACGTATCTGTTGATTCTTCTATTTTATTTTTATGTTGTACAACGTGATTCCCCCTTTTCTGTTATGTCGGTTTTTCGCCTGTACCACCCTTCTTGTTTTTGACCTGAATATTAACCGTTCTCTGACCTTGTCATCGGACGTGTTGTTTAGGTTCACACGTGGTTTCGCTAGCTTGTAAACATGTGGCTTTGAGTCAGTGTGGATTTTGAGATCCGTTAGGAATTATCAGTTCCTAAACCCAGGTATAGAAGCCGACATAGTCCCACGATTTGGGGTTTGTAAGGTTTTATTATTGTATTTATAGCACCGCATTTGTAGATAAACCTCCATTTGAACGATTCGGCTTTTGGGGTTTTGCGCGTAACTTGACGTGGTCCAACAGATTGCTGTTCCAAATATGGTACAAACTGAATACTGGGGAGACTGTTGTTGAAGAAAAAGGAGAATGTCATAAAAGTCTTACGCGTATAGCAACTTAGCTTGTGAGCAAGGGTACTTACTTAAGCTTGAAATTGTGCGAGCAAAATCTGGAACCCATCGTGATTATGCATCTATATTTTCTTTCCAAATCTCCTGACAATGGATACTCAGTGTCTGCCTGCAAACGCTATATTTTCACCAATTATGTTTCTAAGTACACACAATAAAAGTTAATTATGTTAAGCAATGTATTTTCAGGTTTGTAACGTTCGTGGTTTCAAATCATGTGTCTATGGTTTCTTCGTTTTTACTCTAAATTAACAATAGAGTCATGTTTTCAGCCTAACTGGAGAAATCTGTAGGCCTCAGAGGTACCCTACACACAGTAGTCCTCTCCAAGATGTGACATCGCTGAGCTGAGGGCATCTGAATGATAGCCTATTACTGGGAAAAGTGCATCTCTGGCGGACAATTTGCACCTTTGTGAAGTTCCCAAAGTAGCAGACCTAAATTGCCTACAAAACTGGACACATCTCTTTGGAGTGTCATGCCAATGGTTAACCAGCTCACAAGTCAACTTATCAAATATCGCTTATATAGTCTAATTTATTAATAAAACTGCATCACCTAATTGTTCTGTTCACAGAAAGTGCTCGCTGTCACCAGGTAAATGACAGAAACCTCTGTTCAGGCAGTGGAGTGCAGGGCTGGGCCTTTAATCAGTCGATTGGAGATTGTCAAATGGTTGAGGTCTGTCCCACAGGTGTGATCATCGAACCAACTGGGTCAACACAGTTTGCTTGGGATATTCTACGAAGACGCCGCACCAGTCACTGGTTGGGCACATTACATGCATCGACAGGTCAAGCACCGCAGGGTGTATACGCCACTCGCAGTGCCTGTCAGTATCACTGTCTGCCAAAACCTCCAAGAGGAACGGATGCCCAAAGTGAGTTGAATTTTGTTGAAATATATGTATGCGGCTGACTAAATGCCCCAACTACCTTAGTCAGTATATTTGACCCAAATACTCGCTGAATGATGTCACTTGGCTTCATTGAGGCTTATTTCCTGACAACTTCATTTGAAGGCACAGTGTCAAGGGTGAGACAGTCCGAGAATTTAAACATAAGCATTCAAACATTGCCAACTAAATCAAGGTCACTGAGGTCGGATGTGACTTTCATCACATTCGGATGAGGATGGGGGAATAGGATACAGGAAATTTACTACAATGGAACACTCTTCGGTTGCTAATTTAGTCTCCTAAAATTGCTAGCTGGTTGAGTGAAATCCGTGAATTTCTTCTCACGTATTGCTTCCGCAACTCGTGTATGTTAAAGAGCGTAATTTTTAGCCGCTAAATTCTACCTAAACACCAACCAGTGAATGTGGCTTTTCTGGTGAACACAGAAGTCGTAGATAGCGCAGCAGTCATATGAAATTTTGGGCGATGAGAATGGACTTGTCAGGGGCTATTTCCTTAAGGGAATCGAGATTAATTACTAAACGTAACATCTGTTTCGGCATGTTTGCTTGTGATGCAGTCCTAAGCATTTTCATCGCGCACCAACCAGTCAGAACGCCCACAGCCTTTCGCCACCTGAGCGCCATCCGGGATCCATTTTGACAGTGGCTATAAGCTACTTGTCTACTTGTCAGTAGGTAATAGCTAAGTTTCGTTTGAAACACATGAAGCCAAAATTGTCCGTTGTGGGAAAAATAGGCTAGAATATGCCACGTTGAATGATAGCACATCAGTGCACAATTCACTTGTTTACAATAGCACATTTTTATTATGTTCGACATTTACCTACCAAACTTGGCTGGTGCGTCTGCTCGGTAATTCTGGCTGAAATATCGACCGGTGGAAATGTCCTTTAGTGATTCAATGGGACGTACCATATATGTTGCCTGCTTGATACAGGATACGTGGAAGAACGCCTGTCGCTTTCACCCTAGCTAAACACTTACCAATAAATATGTGGGGAATTATGGGTAAAATTACCTTATAACTCCCCATAATTCAAACAAACTCCGGGTTTCAGTATCGTAGTTGAACGCAAACGATACGATGAGCAGTGTAAGGTTCTATCACCATAATCGCATCATCCGTTCTCTAAATACCATTACTGAAATAGACGAGAAGCATTTCGTCGAGGCCCGCCGAAAGCCGTGCTGGGGATACCTTTCTTTCATCAAAGTAGATAATATAACTTAAAAGCAGAGGGTGCTAGTAATCCTAGTTCCTAGTTTATGGGTGGTGATTTGTTTATTTACGTCTGTTTCACTTGGGAACATTCAGCAAGCGTATCCTAACTGTGGCTGCATCTTCACTTTGCAGGTAGGATGCCCTTTAATTTTCTCTACACTATCAGTCTCTTTGTTGTGACGTTGGTTTGCATAAAGTACTGTATGACATCAACTATATCTGCAAATGACTATCGGGAGACACAACTTAAGCGGGCTTAAATGTTAAGAGTTGGCCTGTCACTGGCCATTCAAACCAGAATTGACAATAGGACAGTCTCATCTTCCATCCAAAATAAATGTAAAGAACAAAGCATCTCCCTCGGGCCGGGTTACATATTTTTCCAGGAAGATGGCATCAGGAGCTCCAAAAGTACCAGCGTTAGTGTACCGGATTCGAATGAATGAGATTACGGATAAATTGGTTTTGTTGTATGCTGTATGAAATAATGTAGTGGGGTAAGTTAAGAGGTGTCATGCAGTTCGACATTCAGCGCTTCAGTTGTTGATCAAAAATGAGGAACAAGTTATTCACCTTCGCAATGCTCTGTAACACATCTTACCGCCAACGGAAAAAATCCGTATCCCGGCAATAATTACGCCCACCTTCGGGAGTGTGAAAATGTAGGAACGATTCCGACTGTTGACTGATAGGTAGGTTCCCGATATTGATTGTTTCCAGTAATCCATTGGGCCACGTGGAAACCGTACTCAGCACTCGGCGGAGAGATCATATCTGACAATCCCATACCACTCCATGACAACTGTTATAAACTGTTAAAATATCATGGTCGCGGGTTTACAGACAATAAAGCATTACACTTCTTCAGTCTGTAAATAAGTTTTTCTCTTATGTGTCGAAGATCCTACAGTAACTTACTTTTCAGTCCCCAGAGGGTGGTCTTATTAGGAGTGAGATGACTCTCGTTTTACTAAAGCTCTGCTCTTTGTTGCTAACACGTGGCTAAGCTCAAGAAAGACACGATGCTTGCGTTTGAAACAAATATGTGGGGATTTTGATGTATCCTTTCAAGAGGAAAAAGTCCAAAACAAAGCTGTGAATAAAAACATGACATCAGTTATCTTTTTTGACAAAAATGTCTATGCAAACCTACAGCATGTTTGCAGCTTGACATACCGCCTTAACTTCTTCTCTGATGTCTATTGCATTTTCCACCTTTGTTATCTGAACAGCTTATAATGCCTCACACCACATACTTTATTGTTCCAGTACAGTGGGCCAAGCACCCAAAGGCGTGGTAAACAGGTCCTGTGCCCGAAAGCCGTCATCTGTGTGCCACAGTTTCAAACTAGGTTGCAAATATCGACTGATTAGTGGTGATTCAATTGTTTCACTCGGTCTGTGTAGGCGTGCTAACCAAGCCATAGCGTGCCAGGACGTATCTAGGCTATTTACCACTTGGAATGCTAAACTTTGAGGTCCCCCACATACCAAAGCGACCAATATGTTGGTTGCCAGACTGTTGTATCCCGGCGTCGTAGCCAGCAATAGTTCGCGGAAATAGCCGCCATCTTGTTTGTTATATGGCCATCCATTAGGGCTAGCATAACTTTTGCTGACCGGATAGCAAATATCTACCAGCGCCAATAACACGGGTGGAAGTTTCTGTTCGTCTGTCTGCAATATGCTTCAAAATATTGGGATGAACAGGCACATTAACCGACGATGATTTCAGAAATAACTGTGCATTCTTTGAATTCTGCAATGTGACTTCAGAAATATGCAACTCATGTCGGCCTAATTAGGACTGCCACGCTACTACTTGATAAAATTGTATTTTTGGACACGATGCGACGATGTCAAATATTTGACAATCAGAGCTTTTGCAGAGGAAGTGGCGTAGCGCTAGGCAAACCTCATATTCGGATGGCAACGCAATACTTTGTCTGGCAGTCTAAGTTGATTTGCGTGTGTCTTAATACATTACTCTTTAAACTGACAACATCATATTCTAGGATGATATGGACTAGCTGTTGCATCCGTGGAAAATGCACTTTTTACATGTATAATGGCGTTTGAATTTTCTTGAGAGCGCCAAAGCTAGATAATTCATGCAACTTACGTCCATCACATTGTGAAAATCTATGGCGTTCTCCAGCGCGTTTTTTTTAAACTGGTGACGAATGTGAACCAAATTTGTCCCGTTTTGAGGAGCCCTATCAGCGTTCGAACATTTTGGGCGTGAGCAGTGTGTAAATATTATGCGCACGCATGCAAATAGTTTTATGTAAGCATAGTCTAGCCACTCAATAGAAGCATTTTGACCCCGTATAATGGTAAACACATTTTTGTTAAACGTAGCGGTAAAACTAACTGGAGACGCAAGCGTTTCTGAAAGAGAAGCATTAGATGAGTAGTGTCCGCGGTTTCACACCGATGCGTCGTTCATTTCATCTTTAAAACTTTCAGATGTGTGCCACATGAATCCAATCGTAACCGTGCCGTTCGGATGTAACGCGATGGTTACCCGCTGGTACTTCGAACCACGTGAGGCCAGTTGTCGTAGTTATATAACTTGTCCTCAATACGGGAACAATTTTCCAACAGAACAAGCCTGCCGATCAATCTGCATGCCAGCTCATCCGCTTGGTAAGTTTTATTTGGCCGATGGCAGAAAGTGTCTAGACAGATTCATCCTTTGCGACGTCCTTTCTAAGACTTGCGGTATCGCTAGGCCGACCCAGCGTTTCACTTTACTTACAACGCTCTGTGCTTAAGAGAACCTCACATCAATACATCAGATTCACTTGAAACGATTGAGCTATAGTATACCGCTCGGTAGAAAGAACGCATTGAGCTTATGACAAAGTCAAATAAAATTTGTCTTCTCGGACAGGATAAGAAGAGCTCGTCCGGCATTCTTAAGCGCAGCTGGTGGACCTACGTTTTTCTGGTCCTGTCTGCCTCTGCTGTAGTTATTCTGAGTGAAAAATGTTAGCTTAGAACTAAAAAGCTATGTTTTGGAGTATATCTGATCACAATAACTGCTGAGGGTCAGGTTCAAGATAATCATCCCAACAACTTATTTGTCTTCCGGGTTTTTACCTGAACACCTTGTGTTTTCTGTTGGATTACTCGACGATACTCAAGGAGACATTCACAGAGCAAAATTCTCCCCTTCGAAAGTGACTGATTTCTAAATGAGTAGTAATTTCCCACAGAATGAAGTGCCCAATTCATAACATAGAAAGATTAGGACCCAGAAAACTCGTCATTTCTCTTGGATTCTTTCTAAACCGAAGGTTTTTACACAGTGCTGAATAATATGCGTCCCACTATTATGGTTAATCGTGAACAAATAGCAAATCTAGGCTATCTGTCAGACACTGAAACATCGACGAGTTTGGATGAGCTGTTAAATTCAGGTGAAAGTGAAATTAGGTTTCATAACTTTGATTGTGGTGCAGTAAACCAACCTGGCGGGAACTTCCTACAGATGTGACAAGCCATATCGAAACACGTTTTACGGAATCGATAAACCTATCCCCTCATTGACCCGCCAAAGAAACTATCACTCAGTAGTTTTGTATCCTATAGCTTTCTGCTTTACTGACGGCCTGTTAAAGTGGGGTACATGCACGCGAGCAAAATGAGTACAGATATGACTGTGGATGAGCACATACTCGGAGCCTGTCCCGGCACTTTCACAGAACGCGGCGTTTATTGACTCCTCATGATCAGATTCAACGGCCGCAACTGACTGAGATTTTGTAAACTTCAGTCGTCTCGTTGAGTTTTCGCGGCCGATTAGAATGTGTCCGAATGCACCAAGAACGAATTCAGTTGAAGGGAACCATGTTTTTGCTTCTCAGAGACTGGCCAGTAAACGCTCAATTCCGCACAACGCACGATAAGACATTGTAGAGATTTCGACGACCCAGTCACTTAGACAGCTACTCGGGTTGACATATCCCGAATGTAGATGTTTACCCAACACCAACGATATGGCATTTCCCAAGGGACCATGTTCCTCTATATCACGTACAAGACAGTAATATAGAACAGCGCAAACGGTAACAATAACCGACGGCATAAAACAAAATATTGATTCCAGATTATCCAGTAGAGTATGATTCATGCGTAGTTTTTACAGTAACATCGCCTGACGATCGAGTGCAACCTCGGCATTGCGCGATATTTGAGCGGACTCCCATGTTGACAAGATACCGACTGGTAGTTTGTTCTGAAGAATTGCACGAAGTAACTGGAAGTGTTCGAGAAGTAATCTGGGTGAGACTGTTTCTACTTCAAAGTGTACGTGCATGATGAAATGGCTGGAGGTGCAGATTCGACGAAACCCCCTCGCTGGTATTCTTCCACTTGCTGTGCAAAACACAGGCTATCTTGAGTCTCGTTTTAAAGACATTCAACAAAATTTCTTCTGTTTTTGAATCAAGCACTTTGGGACTTTTGCTCAAAATTCGCAATTTATTGATTGTGCCTAAATTTGACTCCGAGGTTTCCCACTCATAAAACGGTTAACCACTGTTTAACCATTGATCGCATCACACAGTACTACACCTTATACTATTGAGATGTTCACTTGCGAAGACGGATCAATTAGTAACCTGGCTGCTCGGGCATCCTCAGTACGCTTCCGTTTTATGATCTGTGTTCTTTACTGAGGGACCAGTATGCTAACGACAAGGTTTCTCAAACGCTGGGATACCTCAATTTTTAATTACCAGTGGGCAAATACTCCCAAATTTTCACCAATAACATATGCAGTTAGCCACGCTTGTTAGGCAGAAACAAAATAACAGTAGAATAATCGATATAATCTTTCACTAGTCAAGTGATGCCAGCGTTTATGCACCATATCTACCCTAACTTACTTATTTTCGATTATGAATACACGAAACAGATGTTTGCCGTCTGCCACGGGATCACGGAGGTTGCTCTAAATTCCAAACCCGCTGGCACTATGACATGAGCAAGAGAGCATGCGTGCCCTTCATCTACGGTGGATGTTTTGGAAATTCAAACAGATTTTTATCAAGAGCAGAATGTGAAAGCTTTTGCACATCACGTGATGTGTGTCGACTTCCACTACAGGTGAGAATCACTCTGGTCATGTTTCAGGTCTATAGTCAGGGTTCACTACGGTTTTCATCTTTATTCCCCAGGTTATGATCTTAGTAAATAGAGTATGTAGCAGGTCAGTTAGAAATTTATCCAAACAACTGAAGGCCATCCTGAATTTGAGAACAGACACGTTTCCAGTAGGGTCACTAAACGTCTCTTCGTTTGGAACCACTGACCTAATGTAATGGGACGACGATCTGAGGCAAAGTAGACATATACACAATGTATTATGTAGCTATTGAATACGACTGCTGGACTTTCCTCAGTTCACTTTTGCAACAATGTGAATAGGTGTCAGACAACACATCTGTATCAGTTCAAAGGATGTAGCCCGGAGCAGTTCTGCATTGCGAAGCTGGTCGATCCGAATCAGGTTTCAAACCACACCAATGAATGTTGCATCAGAATGTGTACACCTCTCACTAGGATACAAGCAATCTTTAAGCATCTCAGCCAATTTTCTAACGGATTCAGAGTATCACCACTCGAACCACTGATACAGATTCAGATTCAATAAAATACCAATCTATGTTACTGAGAATAACTAGTTATCCCAGAAGCATAATCATTTAGGGCTATATATGCTGAAAAGCCAAGAAGCACTGTACAGCTGTTTCATCCTTATTGGAAATCATCAGCAGTGCGCATCTCA